ATTATATATCATAGGTTTATTTATATGATTAAATATCATTGTACTTATTTATTTTCTACTACGTGGTGCTTTTTTAATAAATACAATAATTAAAATTAAATGTTATAATAATAATAATAATAATATTAATATATTAAATATTTATTTATGTATTTATTTATTTATTTTCTATTACATATTTCTAACAATTTAATCATTTATTAATGTTTTTATAAATACAATAATTAAAATAAAATTTTACAATAATAATAATAATATATTAAATATTTATTTATGTATTCATTTTCTATTACATAATTCTAACAATTTAATAATTTATTAATGTTTTTATAAATACGATAATTAAAATAAAATGTTATAATAATAATAATAATAATAGTATATTAAATATTTATTTTTGTATTAATTTATTTTCTATTACATAATTCTAACAATTTAATCATTTATTAATGTTTTTATAAATACAATAGTTAAAATAAAATGTTACAATAATAATAATACTATATCAAATATTTATTTATGTATTATTTTCTATTACATAATTCTAACAATTTAATAATTTATTAATGTTTTTATAAATACAATAATTAAAATAAAATGTTATAATAATAATAATGAAAATAATTATAATATATTAAATATTTATTCATGTATTTATTTATTTTCTTTTACATAATTCTATCAATTTAATCATTTATTAACGTTTTTATAAATACAATAATTAAAATAAAATTTTATAATTATATATTTATTATTTATTTACATATTATTTATTTATTTTCTATTACATAGTGCTAACAATTGAATCATTTATTAATGTTTTATAAATACATTAATTAAAGTAAAAGGTACTGTATATCATTATAATTTATTATAATATTTATATAATTAAATATAATAATTATTATATTCATTATACCATAATAAGAATATAGTAAAAAACAATCAATGAAGCATTTCAAATGAACGAAAATGAATGTAAAAGTAGTTTATAAAAACTTATAAAATCCAGTAAGACTGCTTAGGCTAGGATTAATGAAAAATAAGTCTTTCTGTGGGCACCGTTTTACATGTGGAACTGTCATTTGGTGGCTCCATTCTGGACAAGAGTTATTCAAAACCTTGAGAAATGGCTGGGACAACCTTTACCTTATTCCCCATAAGTTTGTCTTCTTGGTGATACGTCCACTCTACAGAAGGGAATATTTAAACACAGGCTGTACTAGTCTATTATAGCTGTGAGACTGGTGCTGTGAAATTGAAAGAACTCAGATACTCCCTCTTTTAAGGATTGGATTGAGCTGATGCCTTCTACTGCATTATATGAGTGCATGTTAGCAAGGCTTCAGGACTCCACCCATACTTTCAATCAGAAATGGGGAAGATTTTTACAGTATTTGGAGAGCATGTAAAGGAAAAATTAAAAATGAATAGTTATATTATAATTTTTGTTTTGTTATTATTTTTATTAAAATTTGTTTACATTATTTTCCTGAGTGTTAATTTTGTGAATTTTATGTTGTGTGGAGTATAAAAGTAAAATAAAAAAAAATTTAAAGACAAAAAAAGAATAAAGAAGCCTACATATAAATTAAACATATTAAAATTTGTTAAAACAATGTGTTGAATTGCCTTAAGTTTAGATTATATAGATTAAGATTAGATCAATTAGATCACAGCAGATTAAATAAAAATCCCATTCTGTTGTTTTTCTTACAATAATAAATATGAATATTTTATTTATTTATTTGTTTGTTTGTTTTAGTAGTATTTAGGGTGAAGTGTGGTGCTAGTTTAGCATCGGCTTTACCGTGTACATTTCATATTTATGAGTTCTGACCTGAATTTGTAATCCATCAATAATAATCAGTACATTTGCTCTTGTGTTTCTCTCTGTTGTAGATCCTTAAGTGGTTCGCACAGATGTGTCTAGGCACCAAACACATTCACGACAAGCGAGTACTGCACAGGGATTTAAAGTCAAAAGTACGTGCTTATGGATGTCTGGTAATTACTTCATTGTTTTAATAATGTTAATAATAAATAAATTTCATAAATAAAATAATAATAAAATAAAATAATAATAGTTGTGCAAAACAAAGGAAGCCAAATTGTAATATGTATTTGCAGTATTTTGTTTAATTTTATCTATATTATACAATATATTATTTTATATTATCTTTTGTGCAGTAAGTTTTCTATTTTAGAAATTTTATTTTTTTAAATAATTTTTAAAGTTTTTATTAATTATTAATTTTACTTAGATAAAAAACTAAAATAATTTTATTATATTATATCTTTATTTTATTTTTAATTAGTTACAAAATACAGTTAAATAAATAAATTATTTTTAATAAACTAAATTTGCTATTTATTTAAATTAAATTAAATTATTTTATTTATTTTATTTTTTAGTTAGTTACAAAAATGCAGTTCAATATATGTAATTTTAAAAGATTAAATAAATTTTCAAAATTAATACATTTAATTTTTTATTAAAATAATTAATTAATAATTTATTAAATAAATGGATAAATATATAAAAATAATTAAATGAATATTTATTTATTTATTTTATTTAGTTAGCAGCAATATTATTATTAACTTATTTTTAATATTATTACTTCAAATATTGCTACACTACTAATACGTTAATATTCTTAATATCGCTTATACCTAATTACCCTACTAGATTTTTAATCTTATATAATGTAGGTTCACTTTGTTATTCATCTGTAGACCTGTCAATCAAATATCTTCCCTTGAAGAGTCATGATGGAAATTCTGGTGAATTATTAGCATGTTATGAATATCAACACTTTCCCTTTGGTTTCCACCGCAGAACATTTTCTTGACAGACAGTGGAACAGTGAAGGTGGGGGATTTCGGCTCTGCTTGCTCTCTCAACAGGTAACCAGAAGCTAGCATTAATAGTCTTAATAATACAGTGCTCATTCATGTATTTATCCTTGTTTTATTCTATTTTTACAATTTATTTATGTCTATAATGTGAGTTTTGATGTGTGTTATTTCTGAATGCATTTCTGCAGTGCAAAAGCATACGCTCAGACATATGTGGGCACCCCGTATTATGTTTCTCCAGAGATATGGGATAACAAACCTTACAACAATAAAAGGTACAACTTTCCACATAATAGCTGTCTCAGTTTGACACCATATTTCCATTTGAGATGATATTTAGACTGATATACGTGTTTATTTTTATTGCAATAACAACAAAGCAATTACAGTGTATATAAAATAGACAGACATATATTGTACAAACCATACAAATATGACAATAAGGGAAGTATTAAATAAATTTAAAAGGGACCTATTATGCAAAAATATATACCAAATATCTAGAAATATAACCAGCTTCTAATTGTAAAAATGTATTAATTTTATTTTTTTATAATCACACTTGATAAAACTGCAGAAACACTTTGATTGATATTCTCTCATTGTATGTGTCATCAGAGAGGGAAAGCCACGCCTACTAGTGACAATCTCCCTCTAATTAGCATAAGATATCAGTTTAGTTTTTGAATCTGCCACTATGCTGACACACAGGCATTTTAAATTAAAATTGGAGTATTTTATTAATTCTGAATATATATATATATATATATATATATATATATATATATATATATATATATATATATATATATATACATACACACACAATTTCTGTTTAACACGTTTTTACTCATAATAGTTTGAATAACTCATTGCTAATTACTGATTTATTTCATCTTTGCCATGATGACAATAAATAATATTTGACTTATTTTTCAAGACACCTTTAATCAGCTTAAAGTGACATTTAGAGGCTTAACTAGGTTAATTAGGTAAAAAAAAATTACATGGCTTAAAGGGGCTAATAATATTGACCCTAAAATGGTTCTTAAAAAAATTAAAACTGCCTTATTTCTTGCCAAAATAAAACAAAAAAGACTTTCTCCAGAAGATAAAATATTATCAAACATGCTGTGAAAATTTCCTTGCTCTGTTAAACATCATTTGGGAAATATTAAAAAAAGAAAATCAAAGGGGCGCTAATAATTCTGACTTCAACTAATGTATATATATATATATATATATATATATATATATATATATATATATATATATATATATATATATATATATATATATATATATATATATACTGTATATATATATATATATATACTGTATGTATATATATATATATATATATATATATATATATATATATATATATATTGGGGATGTAACGGTATTGTAAATACCGTCATACCGCAATATTAATTTTTTTCGATATTACCGTAGTCGAATGACTCGGTAAAACTATAGGTCTTCTGAGAAAATTTGCTCAGGCGAATGAAGCGAACGAGAGGTAGCGAAAACTACAATTCCCATCAGCCCATGCTTGACCATCATCCCTTGTGGTCTGTTGTCGCTACAGATCCAGTAATGCGGAAATGGAGTGTGCTGCTAGAAGCGGGGATGAAAAAGAGCTGGAAAACTCTAAAGCGGGTGTTGTTGCCGCGCGCGTACTGAATAGCGGTGTTGTCACGCGAGTTCTTATCAGCTGTGTTGTCGCGCGTGTACTGAATAGCGGTGTTGTCGCGCGAGTTCTTATCAGCAGTGTTGTCGCGCGCGTACTGAATAGCGGTGTTGTCAGCACACTGTTCAGATTGATGCAGACGTGAAATTCTGATACCGTTACATCCCTAATATATATATATATATATATATATATATATATATATATATATATATATATATATATACTGTATATTCATCTATCTATCTACCTATCTATCTATCTATCTATCTATCTATCTATCTATCTATCTATCTATCTATCTATCTATCTATCTATCTATCTATCTATCAATGCTGACTGTCTATCTATATATCTGTCCATCCGTTCATCCATCTATCTGAGCTGACCTTCCGTCCATCCATTCATCCATCTATCTATCTCATACCCGGCTGTTTTGTGTTCAGGTGATGTAGATAGAGTTGACGGATCTGAAAAGATGATCCCAGACTACAGCAGACTGGATCCGCGTTCAGATGATGAAGACACGTGAGTTTCTGCTGTTTTCTCTCTGCCAGTAATTGTGTCTCTTACCTCCACCCAGTCCATTATATCCCAGAATCCTCACATTACTTTCCTGACTGCAGGGATTTTGAAGAGGATTGTCCGCATGACTGGATCAACCACCTAGAGAAAGCGCTTGATGAGCATGACTAATATAATGTGAGTTATTAAATGTGTACGCACCACTTTATTTCTGTTTGATCAGTCTCTTTCTAATACTCTTAATAAATCATAAAAATGTAACAACAGAGTGATTTCGGATTGTTCTTGAAAAGTATTGACTTTCACGTAAACCCTTCACGTGTGATCAAACGTGTGCTGTTTTTACACAACACTGCTGCAACTCATTTGTAATGTGTAATAGTGAGGGTGTCCATGGCAGCACTTCTTTGTTTATTAACAAAAATCAATCAAAGTCAGACTCTGGAAAAGTGTATTTGACTATGGCATGTTAAAGCCGGATAAGTTGAGTCACTAAATAAACAATAAAAAAGCACGCTGTATTAATGTCACCTGTTGAAAACATGTGCGGGTAACATTTGACTTCAAGTCAAAACAAAACATATTCACGCACATACACTAAGCACAGTTTAGCTTTCATTTTGTCAGTTCACCTATAGCGCATGTGTTTGGGCTGTGGGGGAAACCAGAGGACATAGAAGAAACCCACGCCAACATGACATGCGCTTTAAGCGTATTGAATAAACTAAATTGTCCATAGTGGATGAGCATGTGTGTGAATATGAGTGTGTATGGGTGTTTCCCAGCACTGGGTTGCGGCTAGAAGGGCATCTTCTGTGTAAAACATATGCTGGAATAGTTAACGGTTCATTCTGCTGTGGCAACCTCTGAAATTAAGACTAAGCTGAAGGAAATGAATGAATGAATGTTTGAGTAAATATTCAACTGCTTATTTAAAAAATTAAAATTGTCATATTTTAAATGCTTAAGAACTTCTTGCTGACTTATGGGTTAATTCTAGTGTTTTGAAGTATAAAGAACGTAAAGGGACACTTAGTATTTTGATATATAATATATATTTGTAATGCTGATTGTGGAGAAAGTGTGTCTCTTTTTCTCGCCACTAGGTGGAACACAGAATATACAGATAAAACTGTTGCAGGGAAATTCAGGAGCTTGCAGGTTAGATTAAATTCTCACCCTGCGGAAATAACCACAGCCTACAACCTCATCAAGAGATGTTGCAATGTTCAGATTTATCATCTTCATATCTTCAAAAGAAACTCTTTCAATGACTGACTTGCGTTTTCCCCACAGATACTTTTCTTAGAGTAATTTGTTCTGTAATAACCATGACACAGATTGGCATCCTACAAATAAATAAAACTACCTATATATA